GATGAGAGAACAGAAAGAATATTTGAAGAAACAATGGCCTAAAAATCCCCAAATCTAATGACAGCTTCATCAATGCATCCAAGCAGCTCAACAAACTCTGTAGGATGAACACAGGAACAGACCCAGCACAAGTGAGCACCCGAAGGCCCAAACCGGCAGCTCACAAAGCTGTGCAGGAGTGGCATTTCTGTGTGTGCTGCTAGTGAATTAAGATGCATAACATAAACCACATCCCACAAGTAGATCACTACAAAACAGTGTTAAAATCATTAGAGAAATCAAACTGTTACATTAGAAAATGAACACAAAGGACAGAAATAAGAATTAAACAGAGGAGCCAGGCAGTGGTGGCGCATGCCTTTAATCCCGGCACTCTGGAGGCAGAGCCAGGTGGATCTCTGTGAGTTCGAGGCCAGCCTGGGCTACAGAGCGAGATCCAGAACAGGCACCAAAACTACATAGAGAAACCCTGTCTCATAAAAACAAAAAAACAAGAAACAAGACAAAAAAGAATTAAACAGAATAAAAAGATAAACAATCTATAAAATAAAAACTTGTGGTAGAGGTAAATTAAACTACACCAATAATACTAACGGTGAATGGATTAAAGAATCCAATCAAAATGCAGGGATTTTTTCAGATTGGGCAGCAAATTTAAAATCCAATCAATCATACGCTATCTCCAGGAGACTCACTTCAGATTCAAATATCTGAATGTGTAAAAGCAACCACTAGAAAGCCAGGTATACCACTGTCAGAAAAAAAACAGACTTCATGGGGTTTGTTTTGGTTCTGTTTTCCTGTGGTACTGAAGATCGAACCCAAGACCTTGCATGTATTTGACAAGTGCTCTATCACTGAACTACATCTCTAGCTCTAATATGTTACTAAAGGAAAATAAAAGAAATGAGCATTTTATAATAGTAAAAGGATCAATTCATCAGAAAGCTATAACCATTAGAATAATAGGGCATACCTAATAAGAAAACACCAAAATGCATGAGGACAAATAGGCTACGGAAGACAAAGGAGTAATTCAGTAATCATGGTTGGAGACACTGGTATCTGTACTTAATGGCTAGAGAACTGGGCAGAATATCAACAAAGCAACAGGAGACATAAACAGCACATAAGCCAGCATGCCTAGCAGACATCCCCACAACACCCCACCCAACCTTCTCACAGGACAGTCTCCAGGCCAGCCACATGCTGAGCTCCACAACAACCACAACGCATTTGGAAGGAATGGAACAATACAAAGCATGTCCTCTGACCACAGTGGAATACATTCTGAAATCATCAAAAGCTATTTGGAAAACTCACAAATATGTGGCTATTAAACAACGTGCTGCTAAATAACCAGGGAGTCCAAGAGGGAAACTCAAGGAAATATTAGGTGGCACATAAAAGACCAGACACACCGAAACATGGGACGTGGCTCACAGAAGAAGTCAGAGCTATAAACATTTACAATAATGAAGGAAGATGTGGTGGCCTGGGGCGGTAGCTGGGTTGTCCAACTGCTTGCTGTGCGAGAATGAAGGCCTGAGTTTGGATCGACAGTACCCACACAAAAGCCTGGTGTGGCCATGTATGTCCATATTCTCCACATATGGGAGGCAGAGATCGGAAGATCTCTGGAGCTTGTGGGCAGGCCAATCAAGATGAACTGGTTAATTCTAGTGAGTGAGAGACCTAGCTTAAAAAGTAGTTGGGGAGGTGACTGAGAAAGACACCAGATGCCAGCTTCTGGCCTCACACAGGAGCTCACACACACGTACACAAATCACAGATGCACACACGGATGTGAAAGCAGATGTGGCCCAATTCCAGCATTTGGGAAGAGGAAGAAGGGGGATCAAGAGTTCAAGGCCAGATGGTGCTACCTAGCCATCCTGGGGGCCAGCCTGAGCTATATAAGATCCTGTCTCCAAACCAAAAAAGAACAAAACAAAAATGAAGATGTGGCTGAGTATGGTGGTTTATATGTACTCAGCACAAGGGTGGCTAAAGCATGCTGATCACAAGTTTGAGGCCAACCTGGACTGTACAGACAGACTGTCTCATAACAAAAACAAACAATAACAATGAAAAAGCGTATAGTCAGTGAACCAACCTTTGCCTCCACACCAAGACATGAGAACAAGGATAAACTAACTTCACAGAAGGGCACAATAAAGTTCACAGTGGGCCGGGCAGTGGTGGTACACACCTTTAATCCCAGCACTCAGGAGGCAGAGGCAGGCAGATCTCTGTGAGTTTGAGGCCAGCCTGGTCTACAGAGTGAGATGCAGTACATACAGATGCACCAAAACTACACAGAGAAATCCTGTCTGGAAAAACAAAACAAAACAAAACAAAAACAAAAAAAAAACAAACTTCAGAGTGGAAAACCAAAATCAAGGATTTTCAGGATACTTCTAAGCCCACACCCACAGCAGCACTACCCATGGTAGTGGGTGGAAGCAGCCAGCTGTCCACTGAGGACTGAGAAGGCATATCAGTTTGGTGGGGTACCACTCCATCTTAAAAAGAAATCATGACCCATGATACGGCCAGTACAGGGGTGGGTTACCACATCTCACTTACATACGACATATTTTGGCTTGTTGTATATAACATTTCATCTGAATCATAGGTTTATAAAAGCTCAATCGCCCCTTTCCTCTCCTGAGGAAGACTCGTGCTCAACACCTGACAGCCTAAGAATCTCAGCTGGTTCAGGAGTCAGACGGCAAGGATAAAGGGAGGAACGTGGCCCTGTGGCCCAGCAGCTGCTTGTGGTCAACGGAGGGTGGAGAGCATCTAACTCAATGCCAGCCCACCCAATTCCCTGCCATCTAGCACCCAGCTGGGGGGGGGGGGTACTCTCATCATGGTGGTGTCCAAGCAAAGAGAATAAACCCGACATCCTGTACCAAGCATTTCCATTGGGCCAGGCCCTCAGCAGCCTGTACCAAGCATTTCCATTGGGCCA